ACCCCCTTCCAAATAATAATAATAATAATAATAATAATAATAATAATAATAATAATAATAATAATAATACAGGTAGCAATAACATGTTATTTTCAGAATCAATATAAACACATGATTTCATGTAGCAATAATCATGTAGGAGAAAGGATTTAGTTGAATGAATATTATTATCAGGAAATGATTGTCTTTGAAACAGAATATTTCCATTCATTTATTCATTCAATGCTAATTTAGCATTTACTTATTGTAGTGTTAGATATTAAGGAAACAGTCTCTTGACAGCTATGGTGAATGTAAGAGAAACTGTCTGATTGAAGTACAGCTAATTTGGAGTGTTGCAGGCTCTCAAAAGGGAAACTAAAGATGGCTCAGGTCCTTACCATAATCAATTTTATAATTAATTAGATATTATGATTCTCTGCAACTTCACTCCATAGGTAGGAAATGGCACATGTTCCTAGACCTCAGATTCTACAGCTCAGCTGAAGTTAACCTCACTATTGATGTTCATCTAGACTCTCATTAACCTATGACCCAAGCTGAACTTGCTTCAGGTAAAAAGCAGTAAAAATTATATTGTAATATGAACAAATTACCCTGTTAAAAATTTAAATGTTTACTAATAGGACATAGGCCAGCTAACATACATATGAAGTAATTAGACATTAAGCTGCTAAATGGTAGTCTATTAACTACAAAATGAATCCGACCAGAGGTTGATTGTTTTAAACACTTTTTTTTTTAATTAACAAAGAACGAACAAGATAAATCTGAAAAATGAAGACACACTGAGTTTTAAATCATGAGCAATTTGGAAATAGTAATTCACTGTTTTTTTTCCCAATGTATGCATTGAAATGTAGTTAAATATGTTTCACTTCTTATATTTTCTTATTAGGAGTGAAACAGTCATATTTAAGTGATTACTCAAAATTATGCTGTATGGTAAGGTGGAAATTTTATAATAAATATTTAAAATGCTGTATCATGTAATGGATTTAATGTTTCAAAATTGGGGAATGATATAGTTTTTCTATTAGCATCTTTTAAAAGAATATCTTGTTGGAAAACATTCTTATATATGAAATTAGCTTTCCAATGGCTCCTGGATATTTATTAATCATGTGTTTCTTGCTTTAGAGAAAATCTTTTTCCTTTTTCCTTTGTTGCCAGGGATAGATCTCAGGGCCTTGTGCCTGCAAAGCATGGGCACTACCTCTTAGCTCCATACTCCAGCAAAATCTACTGCCCCCCCACATGTGCGTGTGCGTGCCTACACACACACACACACACTCACACACACACACAATATATATATATATATATATATATATGTATTTCATCAACGTTACAACAAATAAAGCTTAGTCAAAAATGACTATGGCTTCTCTTAGCATATGTCTGAAATTTACTGATCTCTAGATATTTATCTATATCCATACAATAGTTTTTAAATGGATAGTTGCTTTTATCATTTGAAATTATTAGTTAAAAATAGCAAACAGAACAGCCGGGCGCAGTGGCACAGACTGTAATCCTAGTGGCTTGGGAGGCTGAGGCAGAAGGATCAAGAATAATAAAATACAAAATAGGGCTGGGGAAGTGACTCAGTGGTTGAGTGCCCCTCAGTTCAATCCCCAGTACCCCCACACCAAAAAAATAATAGCAAATGGAACATATTTTAGAGGTAATTTTTAATTTCCTCTTTGCTTTAAAATAAACCTTCAATTTGAAAAGAGAACTTGTCATCAATTTAAAGTAACTCCTGAAGAACGTCAGCCTCACCAAAGCAGCACAGGATTTATAGATGTTCTTATAATAGAAATGGGCTACTTCCATAAAGAAAGTAAATATTTGCAACATGCCAGGTTAGGTTTTCAGATATATATCCTTCACCTTCTGTTTTCAATTTTCCTTGTAATCTGCAGTAATTTGGCCAATCTAATGATTGCCATATTTAAGGCAAGTTTTTGTACTTCCATGACAAATCAAAATTATGACCATTTTTCCTCCTAGTATTTTTGATATACCTATAAAATTTATTCAGGCGGAAAGCTTATTTAAAAAGTATTAATACCTCTCTTCTTACCTTACCTTCCCCCTTTCTCCTTTTTTTTTCTTTTAGAATGTTTTCCTTTCTCTCACATTCATTTTCTTTTAAATAAGCAGATGTCCATTGAATTTTATCTAATTAGGTTTTTAGAAAATTATTCGGCACGTAAAATAACCCTTTCAACAACAGGATCACCTAAGTCCATTCCAACATAAGGGATGGAAGTTTAGATGGATTATATTTTTGCCCCTTTCTGAAGTAACCTGTGACTCTGGTCCAGGGTGACCCCACACAGAGGGGTACATAAGTATTTGCTTCGAATACTGATTCTGCCAGTTGGTTGAATAGTCAATTATTCTGTTTCTAGTTTTACTCTCTCTTTCTGCTTTTCTTTCTCTTTCCTTTTTAATTTTTTTTTCTTTTAGCTAAAAAAAGGTGATTCTTTATGACTCATAAAAGACAGAACTCTCCCCCAAATTTTGAGGATATTATTGTTTCCATCCCTCTGAGGACGAATGAGCTAAATGATTAGTTGTGACAGAAGAACCAACAGAGATGAACGCTAAGTGTGACAGAGGTCTTCACTGTAGGCCAAGCTCTGCTGATGTGTGAGCCTGACAGCTGGATTAGTGGTGGTGCCCCACTCCTCAAAGCCTCTGTGAGGGGGTCTGAGAATTTTACCAGTAGACAACTTACCCTATGTGGAGAGGTTGCCATGCCCGACAAGCTTGTTTCAGTCCGGGAGGAAGACTGTGGGTACTTCTAAGGTGGCAGTGTTCATTGGCAAATTCTCCCCCTCCACCAACTGATCTTACATCTGAATCTTACAGGGAATCAAGAGCAGGATCTGCTCATGAAATGAAAGACCACTTTGGCAAAGATAAGACTGGAGACACATGGATACCCTTTGGTTGGAGTCTCCTAACATGAGGACAGAGAGAGATGTTCTTATCCACTTTACAGAAGCAACAATGATATTGTTTCTTTACAGCATCAAGCGTGTTGGCAAATGTAGGAAGGACCCGGAGAACATGGCAGTGTTTGGCAGGCAGAGCCTGGCAGATGATGTAGATACTATAAGGCACTGACGTGTGGCAAGAATGAAACTGTGTGATGGTGAAGACAGTCGGCATGGCATGGGGGGGTATGCACTGAAGTGAGTCCACTAGAGACTCTGGGATGTGTGGATGTGAGGGACTTTGCAGAGCTCTAAATCACAGGAGGGAGAAAGTGCTAACGTGTGTATTGTTGCTACAGACTGACTCCTGAAGAAAGTCAGCCTCACCAAAGCAGCATACGATACTACCTCCATGCACTGATATTTTAGTCCCCAATCCCATTTCCACTCAGTCGACTCTTTAAGAAGACAGAGCAATGAGTCTCAAAGAGAAAAAGTAGGTAGCCAAATTGATAAGGAAGAGGATGGGTGGTGAAGCATAAAGAAAAAAAAAAGTAGAATTAACAAAAGTAATTAAGGTAGCAGAAGCAGGAGAAACTGGTTTTCTCGTTGCCAAGTATATTTTAACTGAGCAA